CCGCCAGCCAGTCTGAAGCAAGCCTAACCAACCAACTCTTTCACAGAACAGCTTGCAACATTGAACAAAAAAACACTTATTGACAATTCCAAGGAGATTGTCAAATTTGGGGCAAGTAACCAAGATTAATGGTCAAAGACACAGCATATCATGACCATCACATGAGGAAAATCATTAGTAGAAACTGCGTTGGGTGGTTTCCCCCACCTAGAAGACAAGAACCAGACTGAGATTCCTTAGGAGACCTTTTAACCTCTCTGGTCTTCACAGAACATGTCCTTACGTCCACAGAATGGCACAGAAACTGCCTTTCCATGTATATACTGTATGCAACTAAATGATGCTAAAAGGACTTACAGTGCCTTGCGAAAATATTCATTTTTTTTGCATTTTGTTATGTTGCTGCCTTATGATAAACTTCTTTAAATTACTTTTTTTCCACATCAAGCTACACTCCATACACCATACTGACAAACTAAAAACAGAATTGTCACAACTTTGTAAATTTATTAAAAATAAAAAACTGAAATAAGTACATTGCATAAGTATTTTCAATTGCTCAGTTTGGCCAGGAGGCCAGCTCTAGGAAGAGTCCTGGTTGTTTCAAACTTCTTCCATTAAGGGTAACAGAGACTACATGCTTCTGTGACCCTTCAATGAAGCAGAATTTTTTTCTGAACTCTTCCACAGATGTGTGGCTTGACGCAAACCTGTTTCTGAGCTCTACAGGCAGTTCTTTTGACCTCAGGGCTTGGTTTTTGCTCTGATATGCATTATCAGCTGTTAGACCTTTTATTAAGTTGTGTGTGCCTTTCCAAATCATACCCATTCAACTGAATTTGCCACAGGTTAACTTCACTATAAGTGTAGTAACATCTACAAGCAATATGAATGCTCCTGAGCTAAATTTCAACTGTCCCAGATATGAATATATCCAAGGGTATGAATACTTATGCAATGGAATCATTTTAGTTTTTTATTTTTAAAATGTGCAATGTTTTTTTGCTTGACAATTATGGTGTATGGAGTGTAGATTGTTGTGGAAAAAAACTCATTTAAAGCAGTTTAACATAAGGCAGCAACAAAACTATAGAACTTCTATCTATAGAATTTTATGTTTAGAAAAAAATTACATCTAGATTAATTAGCTGACCTCACAAATCGAGTGATTGGTTGTCGAGTTGACTAGTTGTTCACTGTGACCCATTCTAAGTAACTAATTCCTTAAGCAAGAGGTCCTGGAGAATTTTTTATGAGTCCAATTAGTAGACTGTACCATAGTGTAATTTACTGGACACCCATTCTTCACAGGTCCCGGGACATTTTCCCTCCAGACAAACGCCCTGTCATCTCTAGTATGCATGTGTGTATATATAATGTGACTAATGGTTTAGCAAAACAGAGCTTATTTTATCATGCCAATAAAGCTGTTGAATGTAACAGTAGGGGCACTCTTCCTGTGTGCTAATATTAGACAGGAAGATGAGGCTGCAAGCAACTCCAGATGTTTTCGGAGAGAGAGAGCGAGCGAGAGTGTGTTACTGGCCGTTTCTCTGACCTCCCTCCAGGAGGCTGGTTTCATCTTTTCCTCTCTTGCCGCTCGGTGTCCTACCTGCTGAGAAAGGCACTCACACGGGCTGCCCTGGCAGCTGAGCTGCAGAAGATAGCAGGAGAGAGAGGAAGAGAGAGGAAGAGAGAGGGACTCATACTGATCCTTCCACCACACAGTGACTGTCTGATGAGTTTCACTATCTCACCATCCTTTTCATTTTCTCTCTCCATCGCTCCGTCGGAGACCCCCTCTCTCTAGCTCTCTCTCTCTAATAATCTGCTCAGGCTTCTTAGCAGCTGGCTGCTCATGATTCTGGTCTTAGAGAGAGCTGGCTTCGGCCACAAACCAAACCCAGCTCCATTT